ATTTTACATATTCTAACATCACTTGTTTATATTTTACATATTCTAACATCACTTATGGTAATTTTTGTTTATTTTTGAACTCTTTTCTTTTAAGTTTTTTGAAATAAAAAGTTTTGAAAATAATAAATAAATATACTTTATGTTATTATTTTTTTCTAAATGTTTTTGACACCCAAAAATATATAGTCAGACATACATTTGCTTGTCTCATAAAATTCCATGAATTTTTCAAGCACGGATATATATGTTTGACGTGCCACATCTAATTGATAAATTAGTTTAACTTTCGAGATTTTTAAATTGTTATCTTTGACAAATTAAAAATAAATGTATTAGTTAACTTATAAGCTAGTTTTTTTAAAATGCTACTTAAACTAGTTTTTTAGAATTTTTTCAAATATACCCCTTAATTAATTCTAGAAACACATTATTTTAAATGTCCTTTTATGTTATTTTATATTTTTTGTTTGTTTTTAAGTTAGTTTTAATAAACGTTATTTTTTATCAGCTAGCATTTTAACTAGTACATGGAACATAATCTAAAAATAATCTTTTTAAACTAAGAAGTATATAAATTGAAATCGTATTCTTTTGAATAAAAGTACGAAAGATGTAAAAGTTAAATAGAAAAAAAAATGATCACAAGAATTCAATACAATTTCTTTTTACAGATTTCTTAAGAATTTTTATAATTTTTACAACATCTTTATGATATTTTTCATGGTTTTCTAATACAATATTTTAAACATTAATTATAATTTTTTTAAAACTATTTTTATACTTTCATATAATTTTAATACAAGTGTTTTTAAACCAAATGTTTTATAAATGTTAAAAAAATTTCTTAAAAGCTTTTAACTTTTTTAATAGATTTTCATACATTTTTTTTATAACTTTCATATATTTATTTCTAAATTTTCTTTTACAATATTTTAAAAGTGTTTAACAGATTTTATATGACAATTTAATATTTTTTTATAACATTTGAAAATACTTCTATTAAATACTAGTTTAAAACGTTGTATTAAAAAAATTAAAAGTTTATAAACTTCTAATTAAAAAGTATGAAAAAATTGGAATAATTTTAAAACATTTACATTATATAGACTTTTTTTTTGTTTTTTATTTGCTAAGTATTATTTTCTTTTTATTTTTTTAAAAGATCATCCATACTTATTGTTACATATTTAATTTTATTGTTTGTTCCTATTTACTTAAAAATACTGTATATACTAATAAAATAAAAGAAAAAATTATAAAAGGCCATATAAAATATTTCACAAAACAAAAATATATTTATTAATTAAAAAGATAAGTTTAAAATTGATCAATATTTAATTAATATTTAGAAAATTATGGATATTTTAAAAATAACTTTTGAAAAAAATAATACAAACAAATATGAAAAATAAAATCGTTATTAAAAGTGAGGAAAATGAATTATCAGAGTAATTAGGTTTTCGTTTTGTTCACATTTAGACAATTCTTTTTTTTTTTTTTTTTTTTTGTATACATTTAATCATTTAACTTGTTAATTTGTTCACATATTACCATTAATAGCAATATGTGAGCACATATAACAAGTTAAATCGTCAAATGTATACAAATATAAAGAAGTTACATAAATGTGAACAAAACGATAAAAATGATTAACCTGTTAAGTTATTTTCCCTTTCTCTTTTACGCATTGTTTCCGAGTTCTACTTAAGGAGAAAAATAAGAGGATATGAAAGAAAAGTGAGGGGTGTCGTAGGAAAATCGTGTTCCCGAATTTTATTAATGGAAGGAAAGTGATGAGAGAAAAAAGATTTTGGAGTTATTTTTTTCCTTCCAAATTTTCCTCCCAAATTGGCCGGATTTGGGAAGAAAGTGAGTGAAAGGAAAATTTTAAGTTTTATTTTTTTTCCTTCTAACTCGGGAATATAAAAACTTAAAATTTTCTTTTCATTTTCTTCAAAATCGAATAATGAATATTTTTCTTTATCTCTGTGTCAAAATTTTCAAACTTTTCAAACCCTTACTAAATTCACAAAAAAAAAAAAAAAAAAAAAAAAAAAAAAAAAAACACTGTGACAAGGCGTAAAAGTAAAAACTCGATTATAAACCTCCCCGTCCCCTTCGCAGGCTCTCCTCAGAACCCCCATTACACGCCTACAGGCTACAGCTAGAGCCTCAGCCGTTTATCAGAGTCACCGGACTGCTCGGATTTTTCCAACCAGCAGCACATAGGCGGTAAGTAAATTAGGGTTTTTGATTTTTCAGTGATTCTAAAATAAAGTCGATATTTCTCTCCTTTGTGCTGAAACCTAAAGGACTAAACTGGGTTTAAACCAAAGCGATTATTGAATTCGTCGTATCTTTATGTTGTAAATTAGGTTCTTGGGTGGATATGACAAACCTGTGTTCCTTAAGCAGTTTGGCTTTAGGGTTTTGCCGTTTTGAGTACTGATTAGCATCATCGACTTCCTCTTTTTGCTATAGAAAGATGTTAATTATGGTTTATTTACGAATAGACAGAGTTTTGGAGCGTTTTATTGTCTAGCTAAAATTCTATATTATCATTGGCGTATTAACAAACACTTGGTGTGCGTTGTTATTTGAATTATAAGTATATTGCTAAACCACCAAACCCAGGAAAAACATATGCAGTAAAGCTAATCATATTAAACAACTTTCAGAAGAATGTCCGAGGAAGAACTAGTCAAAGGAGAGGATTCCAAAAAGGAACAGACTGATAAAGAGGTAGAAAAATTGAAGGCAGAAAGAAAAGTGAAAAGAAAAAGACGTTTATTGAAGGAAGCTGCTAAGGCTGATAAGCGTGGGGTATGCTATTTGAGTCGAATTCCTCCACGTATGGATCCTATAAAGCTTCGTCAAATTCTATCCCAATTTGGAGAGCTTGAAAGAATTTATCTCACACCTGAAGGTTACTTTTACTTTTTTATTTTACTTAATGAATTTGATTCTTCAAGTAACTATAAAAATATCTACAGATCCTTCAGCTCATGTGCATCGTAAAAAAGCTGGTGGCTATCGTGGCCAAGGATTCACAGAAGGGTATGTAATTTGTATAATATCCTACTTTTATTTAGTCTTTAATGCCTTCTTTTTAACTCTTAACTTTGGATTTGGATTGTGTTTCTCTTGATTCATGGCTTCTTTAGAATATACTTACACTTGTATGCATGCAGATGGGTAGAATTTACCAACAAGGTTGTTGCCAAAAGAACTGCTTCAATGTTGAATGGTGAACAAATAGGTAAATCATATATATTTCTATTTAGTTCTAATTATGATTGAGAAGTTGCTAATTACTAGTATTTAGTTATGGATTCCTTTTCCTTTTTCCTTGCAAGATTAGGTGGGAGGAAGAAGTCGTCATTCTATTATGACCTTTGGAACATCAAATATTTGAGTAAATTCAAATGGGATCATCTCACAGAAGAGATAGGTATACCTTTAGTTTACCATCTCATTTAACCTTTTTATTGGGGTTGAATGCAAGAAATACTATAGTAACTTACTTTATCTTCCACTGATTTGTTTAATAAGAAAAAAATGAAAGTAGAATGCTATAAATTATAATAGAAAAAAAAAATGAAAGTAAGTTGCTGTTTCTTTCATGTGTGTTTGTGTTGTTGAGTTGATTGCTTGTAGATTGTAATACACACAGCATACAAGAATGCTACAAGGGAGCAAAAACTGGAATTGGAACTATCAGCTGCTAAAAAGGAGAGGGACTTTTACCTTGCAAAAGTTGATCAGTCTCGTGCTTTAAGTTCCATAGATGAACGATTGAAGAAGGTATGATATTTTACTACTACTTCTACAACTTATTTCTTGGATGGTGAAATGACCATTTTACCCTTGTGTGCAGAGACATAAGATCCAGCAAGCGGCTGGATCGACTTCTGAGGAGCCGCAGGCAGCAAAAGTTACTCGTCAATTCCCTCAAACAAAACCAGTTAGAGACAATGCAGAAAAGAAAAAGGCTGGACTCTCAAAAGATGTATTGGCTGGGGTAAGGATTATTTATTTATTTGAATTTATATTTAAATGTGAATATTATTTGAAATTGGAGGCATGTTGGTTAACCCTCATTTGTATTGCTCCTTGTAGGTTTTCGGTGGTTCATGAAGGGTTTGCTTTCATCGCGTGTTTACTATGATATGATACTTGAGCTTCAAGCCTCTTGTAATCACACCAATTTTGTTGTCATTGCTGAAAGGCAGTAGAATAGACTTGTTTTATATGAGTCGAGTTGATTGGTTTTTATTTTAAGGATGTTAATTAATAATACAAGATGCTATATACTAATTCGCCCTCTAGTTTTAAGTTTGCTTTGATGTCTTCTTTTCTATTTATGCAATTGTAATGTCATTTTTTTTTCTTCAAAATTTTCGTGGTTTTAATTAGAATAACACTTTATTTTCTAAAAAATAACAAAAACAAAGATTTTTTTTTATTTTAGCATTAGTTGAGTTTTGTATTTACATGTAGTATAAAATTTTCATATAACAATTCATTCCATTTCTAAATTTCTGTATTTCAATTACCGTGTTTGTTCCATTATACTCTACATCTCATTTCATTTAACCAATAAATCCTAATAAATGTATGTTAAATTGAATCTTTAATACATAAAAACATGTACGTTATCTGCCCTTTTATCATATACAAAATAAACCTCACTATCTAGTCATCATTTCAAATAAAAATAAGGTTTATGTCCTAAAGCAACAACTACCAAAAATTAATTTCCTCTATACATTACATGGGACCAAAAGGTTGACGTAAAATGGTGTGCATATCCTGTATCTCATGTTGGCATGAATTTTAACTGCCATTCTTCTTCCAAATCCAAACCGGTATTTTGTTAGTAACTTTTCTTGTATCTGTATCTGGGATACTGTGATTTACCTCTCTCATGTTAACTGACATATTTTTACTGAATGAAGGGCACTAAATGCCCAAGTGATCTCTTAGGTCACCCCTAATTTTCACTAAAAAAAAGATTCGTTGAGCGACAAAACACCTCTAATACTTAAAAGAATCCAAAAAAAGACCCATAGAAAGACCAACCTTCCAATAATTAAACATGGTAACCAACTTCCTCACCTTATCAAACAAAGGAAAAGACCCCGTATACATGAGGGCCCCAATCCCCTCAACAACCACCACAGCCAAAGCAGCCGAAAGAATATCCCAATCACCCGTTTGTCCTATAACTGTTGCGAAAGCCGTTGAACAATAAAAACCCGTCAAGAAAAACAAAAGTTTCATTGGAAGATCTTTTCTCAAGTCTTTAATTCTTTCACTTAATCTGATTTGAAAAGCTTGTAAGGCCCTGATAAGCCTTGTCCCTCTACTGTTGTTATTTGGGGCTGAAGGGTTTAAGCCGCTTCCATCTGCACTGCTTCTTATACGTGACACTTTCCTCCTATGCATAAAAAACTAACAATTAAGACGGTGTCAAGCTTCCTAAAACCGTAAGTTTGGACCACATTACATAATTTAAGTCTCGTTCGTTAATGTAGGACATGACATAACAAGGTGTATTGTACAATGTTTTGACATGCATTTAATGGAACAAAAGGAAGATTTTACTCACATGGAGGCCTTGTTAAGAAAAGGTTGTGTCAAATGGAAGATCCAAAACCGAGCATACAATGTCTTCTGAAATGAGGATGAAGTTTTTAAGAGAGTAGATGACACCTTTGATCTTGAATATACACTTGTACAAAGCTTATTGGGATAGCCAGGTGATGGCATTAGAATTGCTGGAATCATGCAGGAGCCTGTAAACCATGTTTTGATAGCATTAATTGGTTTTTGGCATCAGGAAAGGGGTTACCATTTGCTATTCTTGTTGTGCAATGTATAGCTTATAAAGGAATACAACGATGAGTTTCTTTATAAGGACTGATATAACCTAAATTCTATAAGTTCATACTATTATTTCTCCATATATTTTATCACTTCAACTACATCGGACCTACATTGAATTGCATCAAATTCATTCAAGTAAGCAGTGTAAATAATAGGGGTTTTGAAGGTTGATGCACCTAAATTCATCTTAATAAGTTGGTCTAATAACTTAACTCATCAAATAGGATTTGATGAAATACAAAATTGTATACTAGTTTCAACGGTCTCCCTCTATTCTATCACTTGGACTAGATATGACCTACATCGCATCTTCATTACTTCAATTCCCAGAACAACAAAAACGAGTAAGACTTTGAATTAGTTCAAACAAGCGTAGTAACTAATCAAGGGTGGGGTTTCAAAACTTATGAACCTAAATTCATCCCATGGTTGAGCTCATCAAATGGGATTAAATTGAAAATGCAAAATTGATGGATGAACATGGCGGAAAGAAGCAATAAGGAAGGAGTTTGACAGGCGATAGGTACCTGAGTAATTTTCGATCGATGGTGCTGTGGAGGGGAAGACGTCAGAATCCTCCCACGGGATTCCGTGCGTGTGGAAAATTAGGGGCGGATTAGTAGCAAAATACAGGCCAAAACAACACACACGCGCACGACCAACTCACCCACGTCTACTTATTTTAATTTTTTTTTTATTGATTTTAATAAATTTGATTATATTATCTAGGATAATAATGACTAGGTAATGTATTTTCTATTTTGGTATATATTTAATTACTGTTTTTTTTTTTTCAACATTTGGTCCTTATAACCGGTTATTTCAGGTTTAATCGGAAAAATAAGTTAATAGGGTAATATAATGTATACTTTGCACACATTTAGTCCTTAATAACATTTACTTCTTGTGAACATATTTTTTAGATTTTGCTCAAGACATGCTACTTGAGATAATCAATAATGAGGTTTCTCATACATGGTTTGTCCTAACTTATATCAGTAACTTAATTCACGAATCGGTTAAATAATATCAGTGTCTTAGTTTTCGTCAAACAGAATATGTCTTTGAATTTGGTTTTATCTATATTCATAATAGACAATGAGATTCTTTGTGATTGCTTCCTCCCAACTCGAATGTGCACTTCCAAGACAAAAGAGTCAAGAAAGTCTCTAAAAGAATTTGCACTACCAAGGCAAAAGAAGAACCAAGCAAAAAGTTACATCCATCTCCATAGCAGACAACGAGATTCTTTGTGATTGGTTCCTCCTAACTCAAATTTGCACTTCTAAAACGAAGAATCTCATTGTCTGCTATGGATATAGATAAAACCGAAGTAAAAAACATTTTATGCTTGGAGAAAACTAATGTACCAATATCATTTGACCGATTTGTTAATTAGGTTACTGATATATGTAAGGGACGAGCCACGTATGTGATCACCTCATTTACGATTATCTCATTTAAGATGTGAGCAAAAGATGAATAAACCGATCATAAGGACTAAATGGGTACAAAAATATTTCGGAAGAACCTGGAGTTAGCCGGTTACAATGACTAAATGTGAAAAAAATAATAATAAATAAATGGTCAAATGTTGAGAAAAAAATCAGTGACTATGAAACATCCCAAAATACGATCCAAAAATTTTTGTTTAACGATTACTAAAAATACTAAGATAATATCACAAAGTAAAACTCATACGTCAATATATCAAAACAGTAACAAATGATTATATAGACTGTATCAAAACTGTATCAATCATATTTATGAAAGACTAGAACATCTCCCAGGACAACTGAAACTGTGGTGTCTGCGATGCCATCAACCCGAGCTCTTCCCTTTGCTTGCGGAAGTACCTGAAACCAAAACTGAAACTGTAAGCACGAAGCTTAGTGAGCTCCCCCAAACTACCACATACCATACAATACATATAAACACATACTGGGCCTTGCCCATTGCATCGGACCGAAGTCCGGAAATTGCATCGGACCGAAGTCTGGAACTAACCAGGGCCTTGCCCTCTGCATCGGACCGAAGTCCGGAACTACTGAGGCCTTGCCTCCTGCATCGGACCGAAGTCCGGAACTAACTGCATCGGACCGAAGTCCAGAACTGCTGAACATAGCATAACATAAACATATCAACTAGCATGAACACATAAACTGCATACTGCATCGGGCTGTAACCCAGAACACATAACACATAAAATCCTGTCTGAGCCACGAAGGCATCAAATATACTAAGATCTGCATCGGACCGAAGTCCGGAAACTACTACTAGCTAAACGGGCCGGTATTGTGGCCTTAGACCCGTTCCTACTGGAAGGAAACTCACCTCGTGATCTGGCTGCTGAGTGTGTGGCTCTGGAAGCTATCTGCTGCTGCTCCGGTATCTCCCCGGCTACAATTCCACAAATACACTCAATCAAATACTAATAACTGCATTGGGGTAAAATGACTCTTTTACCCCTGGCTAAAGTCAAATCTCCTAGTCAAAGTCAACTCTTCTGGTCAAAGTTAACTTACAGTTGACCTGAATCGCCGAGTTGGGCCGCCAACTCGCCGAGTCCCTACTCTCATTTCTAAACCCTGCTTGCTGCTCCTCGTCGAGTATGGCATAAACTCGACGAGTTCCCATTCTATTCTAACACTCAGGCCATCTGCATCTGAGTTGTAAGAACAACTCGACGAGTTGTTCTTGAATCTAAGATGATTGTCTTAGACTCGCCGAGTTGTATGAACAACTCGTCGAGTTCCTCCATTACTGAGCCTAACCTCCGACTCACTGAGTCCATTCTAATACTCACTGGTCCCCACTTGGAATCACTCAAAGAGGAAAGATCGGGGACTCGCGACTTGACTCGCCGAGTCTGAAGAACGACTCGCCGAGTCACAAGCATGCAATTACTAAAAACTCGATTCTAATCAAAACCACTGCATACAATTAATAGATCTGAGTTCCTAAGGCTGGTTTACCACGTAAAGTTTCTAACTTTACATGTACATATGCATGAAAAAGGATATAAAGGCTAAAAAGGCACTTGGAAGAGTAGATCTAGGGATATCATGCAAAATGGCTCCATAAAGTTGATAAATCTACGTTTTTGGGAACTGAAACATGGCTAGATCCGAAAGCTAATCAATCTAATATGATTTGTCTACTATGAACAAGATAAGGGATGGATAAAATGGGCTAAATATGCTTATAAAGGAGAATCAATCATAGAAACAGGAGGAATCCGGTTATTACCTCAATAAACTCTGGAATGGGTGCAAGACCTTGGATCTTCTTCTTCTCCTTTGGATCTAGCCTCCTTCTTCTCTTCAAAACTTCAAGATTCACACAAGAAATGCTCAAAGCTCAAGGAAATGGTTAGGGTTTGCTAAATGATGCTTTGAGGGTGAAGGAGACGAGTTTGGGGCTCATATGATGGTTTAAATAGGGTGCAAACCCGGGGATTTAGGGTTTCTACATGGCAGGTGGACTCGCCGAGTCGCCGATCTATACGCTGCACAAGATCCCGTCTCTACTCGACGAGTCGGGCCATAGACTCGCCGAGTCCCTCTGCAAACTTCTAAATAAATAATAAAGAAACAACATACCATAGACGGGTCGTTATAATTCTCCCCCACTTAACTCAGACTTTGTCCTCGAAGTCTGCTACGGCTGAATCTGCAAATAACTCTGGGTAGTGCTCTCTCATCTCATCCTCAGCCTCCCACATCCACTCAGACCCCTTCCGGTGCTCCCACTGCACCTTCACTAGCTGAATTACCTTGTTCCTCAAGGTCTTTGCTTTATGATCTAGAATCGCGACCGGCCTCTCAATATAATTCAAGCTGCTATCAACCTGAATATCTTCTAAAGGAACAACTGCTGACTCATCCACCAAACACTTCCTCAACTGAGACACATGGAAAGTGTTGTGGATCTGGCTAAGCTCTGCCGGAAGATCCAACCGATAAGCAACCCGACCCACTCGGGCCAAAACTCTGAAAGGACCAATGAATATGGGGCCCAGCTTGCCCCTCTTCCGAAACCTGATGACACCTTTCCAAGGTGAGACCTTAAGAAGGACCATGTCGCCTACCCGGAACTCTAAATCTGAACGCCTCCTGTCGGCGTAGCTCTTCTACCGACTCTGCGCAGTCTGCAGCCTACTACGAACTTGCTGAATCAACTCGGTCGTCTTGAGCACCACCTCCGTGCTCCCAATGACCCGTTGACCGACCTCGCCCTAACAAATTAGAGTCCTGCACTTCCTCCCATAAAGCATCTCAAAGGGAGGTCAATCAATGCTCGCATGATAACTGTTGTTATACGAAAATTCCGCTAACGGAAGATACGTATCCCAACTGCCCCCGAAGTCTAGGACACATGCCCGAAGCATATCCTCGAGAGTCTGAATCGTCCTCTCGCTCTGCCCGTCCTTCTAAGGGTGGAAAGCGATGCTGAAATGGAGACGAGTACCCATCTCGTCATGAAACCGCTTCCAGAATCTGGATGTAAAACGGACGTCTTGGTCTGACACCACTGATACCGGCACTCCATGACGTGCAACTACCTCCCGCACATAGATATCGGCTAACTTTTCCGCCGATATGCTCTCCTGAATCGGTATGAAATGAGCACTCTTCGTCAACCAATCCACTACCACCCAAATCGAATCTACCCTACGTGCGGTCCTGGGAAGCTTAGTGATAAAATCCATGGTGATGTCCTCCCATTTCCACACGGGAATGTCTAACGGCTGCATCTTGTCGTGAGGCCTCTGGTGTTCTGCCTTGACCTTCCTGCAGGTCAGGCACCTCTCTACATACCAAGCAACATCCTGCTTCATGCAGGGCCTGATGGGTTTTGAGCATTCTAACACTTCCTAAGTGTACATGCAACCCTAATAACCTTGGATCTATGTTTGTCTAATTATCATGCAAAGTTGAATTCCAAGGCTATATTCCTATCTAGCATACATGGGAACAATTTTAACTTTAATGATAGATAGAATAACTTACCTTGTTGTTGCTTGTGTTCCTTGAAACCTTGTGAGCCTAGCACCCCAAGTGTGATGCCTCAAATGCTTCACACAACACCAAATGCTCTTGGAAAAACTTATGAGAGAACACACACTTCTTGAAATCGGCCAAGCCCTCTTGTTTCCTTAGTGTAGCCGATTTTGGTGGAGAATATGATTCTTATATAGTGTTGACACATCTAGGGTTACACCATGTAAACCCTAATGTGTCATGACTCTTCATTTCCATGACCCATGGGTTTGTAACTCCCATGGAGCATCCTATGGGTAGAACCCAACTTGATAATCCATGGAGCCTCTTAGCCCACTATACAAGATATGGATGATTTACATAATCAACCCATATATTTAATTAGTTCTCTTTTGACCACTTAATTAATTCTAAATTAATTATTGATCAAACTAATCAAATAATATTATTAATATATTAGAACTTATAATATATTAATAATCTCCAAGTGTTATTTCTCTCATTTGGTCTATCCAATTGCATGGTGCCATGCAACCCAAATGGACCATGCCGGGTCGGGTCAAGTACATACCAGAAATAGTTATGGACTTAGACACCTTATCCAACAGGGCCACCAATAATCGGGTCGAAGATCTCTATACATCTTCGTCGCCCCTGGGTGGATAGAAAATCGAGACTTATGAGCCTCGTCCATCAACACCTTCCGTACTCCGCCCCATACGGTACCCACACTCTCCCATGAAGGGTCAACAACCCCCACCTATCATAATCAAACGAAGCTACTCGACCCACTATTCTCTCACACTTTTGCCTCTCCTCCTTGAGGCCCTCAACCTGAGCCTCCCTGATCTGTTCCAACAACGGAGTAATCACTGTCATCCTTAGACATGAGTCTTTGATAGGGGATGCTG